TAATTGATCAGGAGGTGGCTGCGTTCCCCAAGGGGTTAAGACATGGCAACTTTTTCATTTCATCTCTTTTTTTATCCTTTTTTTTTTTTACGGCCTCTCCCTTTCTTTCTCCCCCGTCTTCCCCTCTTGTTTGCTCAGGATCTCAATGTACTAGTTCAAACATTGTTCCCACCAGCTGGCAGAGCTGCGCCATATGCACGCCCTGTCAAGGCAGCTGTTGTCATGGATACCGGCAAGCGCCGGAAAAAATAAAATGAGCACCCCTGAATTCTGAGGAAGTGCCACTCGCCATCCATATTTTTTGGGATTATTTCCATCTTTCTTGCGTCCCCCCCCCCCCCCCACTCGTCCCCTTCTTTTTTCATCAAAAAAAAGGAAAACACCTGTGAAGTTGTTGTGTTGTGTGCGTATGCACTTGATGCTCGTGGGCCCGTTGACTACAAGGTGTACGGCGGCGAGCAGCAGCAGCAGCAGCTGTGCACAATGGTCTCTTCTCGCAGCCTCTTTTCATCCGCCTGCTCTTGAAGAATGGGAGTGAAGCCGGTAGCCCAGCTGTCGCCGTCTACCTGTGAAGCAGGAGCTCGCTCCTCGCACGCATTCAGTACACAAAACCAGGCAGGAAGGGGAGGGGGGGGGGGGATGTTAATCCCATCGAACCCTGGAGAAATAAACAACGCCACATAGCAGCCTCTCTGATTCCTATCGTCTCCGTGTCTGGCAACACATCCAGCGGTGTTGATGACAAGTCTTACCGTTTACAAATAGGCTTCCTTTTTCAAATGTGTAAACGCCTGTGAACTAATTCCATCCGACAGCGAAAAAGGTCTCTCTTTCTCGCCACACCTTTCCATGTTTCTCTCTCCATCTATCAGCCGCTCCTTGCCGGTGAGCTTCCTCCATACGTATCGTGAAAACCTGGGCCACTAGTCAGTTCACTCGAAATCTTGTGTTGATTTTGTCAACTTTAATTACAGCTCCCAGGGACACTTCACACGGCGCTGCCTCCACTTCAAATTGATATTATGAATATGCAAATGCGTTGGTAATTTGCCGAGAGAAGTGGCTATTTCAGTTGAGCACACACTAGACAGGTCAATTCTACTGACGCTGCGTCCTGGTTTTTTTTTTTTTTTGTGTGTGTGTGTTCGGCCCGCCTCCCCCCCTCCTTCCACCCTCTTCTCCGGCGGTGCGCCAGACAAACTGTATTCATCCTCCATCACGCGCTGTGAATCGTTACTAAAACGTATCTCCAACGCAGTGTTAGCCACGTCCCAATGACTCGCGAAGAATACCAGCGGATATTTGAAGGGGTTTTCACTCAGAGATGACTGTTTTGTCTTCTGTAAATCCAATATTTTATTTCACCTTTTCCTCCCTCCTCCCCAGCTTTCTTTCTCACACTGTCTTTTGTCCTTGTGTTCCTTTCTTACCAGGCCCTACAAGCAGCGAGGCAATTACTCTTGCAGCAACCAGGCAGTGGCCTGAAGTCTCCAAAGAGCCACGACAAGCACCGTCCACTGCAGGTAAAACAGCTCCCCGTCTAATCTCTTAAGTCCATCCATAATACATGCTCCCCTTCGAAAAAAGAAGATTTCCTCTGTTCCACAAGTGTGTTTGATTTGCCGACGCGCAGACTCCGACCCGCCATTTGAATTCTAAAGCCGGACGAGCCGGACCCCGGGAAGCTAAGCGCTGCACGGATACCAGGGAACACAACACGCACACGCGCGCACACACACACACACACTCGCGTCTCAGGGAGCTTCCGGTATACAAAGACCTCCATCAAACTGGACGATAATAATACGTGAAGTATTTATCCAAAGGTCGAACGGCAGGATGACAAATGATTTGATCGGTGTTAAGTTTCTACAGCAGACACACAGGATTGTTGGAGGCGGATCGTCATCCTAACGAGTTGGTTGCACAGACGGCTGATTTAAACTGCCCGTCATTTCCACTCTTCAACAACCGATTTGCCTTATTGATTCATAGAGCTGTCTATTTCTGTTGTCAGTGTTTTTGGAAAAGGTCACACTTGTGTACATATGCACACACACACACACAAGGACAGCAGCACTTTGACAGCACGGTCACACATTTATACGCTTTCATCCTCTTTCTTCCCGGTGTTGAGATGTGTTCTCACAGTAGCGAGTCTTTTCATTCGGCTCGTTTCATGTCAACGGGACAGTCGGTCGCCTTCCCCGCCTCAAATCACGTACGCCCTCCTGACATCCGCTCCATGCTTTTATTATTAGTATTTCTTTATTTGATTTATTTTTAGCCGTTTCAAATTGAAGTGTGGGAGTTTGTGCCCTCGACTCCGCTAATAAGTACTATCAAGGAGCAATGGTTTGACTCATTAGGGGCTCTGTGCATTTCATTAATGTCAGGGAAATTGGCGTTAACCTCGCCGGTTGATATTTTCACAGAGTCTAACAATGGCGACACCTTCAATTGGAGTCACACCCCTGTGTACCTAATTACGTACAGGCGAAGAGATAAGGTTGGCAAAGAGTCAGTCATGCTTTTGCATTTAAATAATTCAACTCAAACCCCACCGAGTGTTAATACTATCACAATTCTAGAAGTGTTTTTCAAAAGGCTTTTTATTTATCCGTCTGTATGCTTTCAAACTCTTTCGCTGGAGCTGGAGAGAAAGAATTATTAATTGAGCAAAAGCTGGCTGTAGCTTATTTTTGGGGTCCATTGCTCTTCTTCTGTTGGAGGTTCTGTGTGCCACAGCGAATTGATTCACACAAACGGGACCCCGATCTACGAATGGCCGCATAGTCGCCAAGTACAGTACATACGTGGCAGGAGGAACAATATTGTCCGAGTGCAGCGCGGGTGCACGACAACCGTCAGCCCAGGTCCAAGCCCCTGCCTCTAATAACACCAGCAGATGGTAAATATTGAATATTTACATTTGCTTACTCCATCCTTGCCTCGCGTTGGCAATAAGAATCAATATGAATCAGAGGGCCCTGCCGACCGGGCCGGTCCTCAGCTCCCAACTAATCCATCTGTTGATCCAGCCTTTATTAACATCCTCACCTCTTTGTTCCAAAAAGTCTCCGTGCAGAGCGTCAAAGGAGAGGCGCTGCTGACTCACCCGCTGATACAAACTAGCAAATAAGGCTCAGTCTGCTGTGGCCCAAGATCATTTTTACAGTGGTAATATGCTGCCGTGCGCCCTTGAATCCACTCATTTCAAATGACATTTTAGCTTTAATACTGCATTGTGCAAATATCAGCGCGAGGGAGAAGAAACTCTGATTTGATTAAAAAGCCTTGTTTTGCACTTCTTAGTTTTAAGATTTCTCCCTTCCTGCCACTAACCAGTTGTCTTGAGGGAGTTTACACACATAAAGCTGAATTATTCACCTGGATTACGAGGCCACAATGAGTGCTGTCGTGCAATATTTTATTAACGTCACGGCTTGATAAGAGTGAATCGCAATCAAGCCGCATGTTTTCCGACAGAAGAAGCAGGCGGATTGATCCCCTTGTATGATTAGCAAAGTAGAAAGTGGGGAAAGGATTAATATTACCATGACATCCTGCTTATGGCAGAGATACTGATAAATCCCCTGCCAGTATTTTTCCCCTCTTGTTCTCCCATCTTTGGTATTTAAGAGCGGGGAAATGATCCATAGATCATGGCATGTAAATTATTTAGTACACAAGCATCTAAGTGTCTCAGCTTGCAGTTTTAATTACGCGTATTAGCGGCTAAAGGCTCTCGCCTGACTAATTCTATCCGCCCGCTCATCGCCGCTTCTCTGGAGTTGATGATGCGAAGGCAGGCAGCTCTGGCATTCACATGCACGTGCACACACACACACACACACACGTGTGCAAAAAACAGTCCCACAAACACACATACAAACACGCACACAAGCTGCTTCTCTGCATTTGCGTAATGTGACAGGTCTATTATTACACAGTAAGCCCATGGGAGCACTCAATAAACACCTATTTCTCCCTGTAAATCCCCCTGCCTCCGCCATGCTGCTTACACGGCTCTCCCAAGGCACACAACACCCTCTCGTCTCTGCTCCTCTCTGTGCAGTAACCCCCCTAGCCCCCCTTCTGAAAGGCATTTATACACTGACATTTGGAATACAAATAAAGAAACGCGGACAAGGAGAGGCGGAGAGGATTACAGTGGCCTACGAATCTTGACAGTTGTTTCGCTCGCGCACAAGCGTACATAATGCGCCCTCGCGTACTCCGGGCTCAGACCACGAGCACAATGCACCCTCCAAGTTTCTGCGTTGCCAGAAGTGACTTTGCGCCACGCTTGTTTGACCGTGGCTCAGGACCGGACCGGACTTAAAGCGGGCTTAACGCCACGTCTGGCAGAGTTGCTCGCGATTAATTAGAAACCTCACAAAAGAAACTGCGGCCGAGCGAAAAAACTCAACCCAACTACCTCACCACATCTGCTCCTAACGTGTCAGCCGGGAGGGCGGCCCGTTGTGACACACCCACCACGTCTGCACGTCAGGGGCCCCTCCAGCGCCCCCCACACCACCCTGACAGTGGGAAGGTACCCCGTGACCCCTCCTCCCAGTGGTGTTAACGTCCAATTCAAAACCCGCGACTGCTGCTTGTCCCCTTTTCACGCGACCACGCTGTGAATGTCTCTTCATGAGACTAATGACCTCAGCCTCATCTGTGCTCTGCTGCAGCTACGCTTTTTGAAATGGTGTTTTTTTTTGCGGTTGGCGTGTGGATCGGGGGAGACGTTGGTTCAGCCCCCTTTTTTTCTGTATTTCTGCAGCTTCTGGCCCAGGCCCGGCTGTGGGCACTGGGCACATCCGAGGAAGTGTCACACTTTTAAAAGGTCATGCGCACACGTTCTCGCTCCCCGAGCGAATATCACCTCGATAGCAGAACTCATCTGCTTTATTGGCTTTCATCCGGAACACACACGGATGCAGGGGAAAGGGCCGCGTCGCTAGGCTGGAGTATAGGTTAGCCGAGTCCTGCGTGCGTGGATAAAGGATTGTAGTTCACATTTACATTTATGAATATATCTTTCCGCTGCATCCCCTCTGGTTGGATCTGAAAAAAGAGAGAAATTATCTCTGCGAAGGTAAAAAAAAATAAAAAAAGAGATGGGGGGGGGTGGGGGATATTATGTTATTCATGAGGAAAACTTCTGTTGACTCTGAGAGAGAAAGAGAAAGAAAAAAAAAGCGTCAGCACATTTTAAGTCAAACACCCCTGGTTACTGCTTTTGTAACCAGAAAACAAGATTTTTTTTCTCCCTCCCCAGCTCCCTTTTTTTTTCTTCTTCCCCTGCATTTACAACACCTACAGGACAAGATTGCTAAATTGCGAGGACAGTGCAGGTTCATCATTGTGATGCAAAATAAGTTGAAATGCAACCCCAAGGCGAGTTAGCTGAGTTTGGGGGATCAAGAGAAAGTGAGAGGGAGGGGAGGATAAAAAAAACGTAGCTCAGACCTTTGATGTAGCAGCAACAAATTTACCTTGTGACAGAAGATACATGGGTGCAATAAACGAGTTATACCAGCCCTTACACATGCAATCAGATGATTCCGGCCAGGGTGTTAATTGGATCCTAACCGGCAGATCTGATACGCCTGGGCCCCGGTGGTGAGGGGGGAAGCCTTTCCAAGTGATGAACTATAATTCACTGAGCTGCTTGAAGCACTTGTAATTTACTGTGTGTCACTGATGAAGAGGCTGATCCAGTGGAGGCCGTATTACCTGCAACATCAGAAGGAAGTATCCCCCCCCCCCTTCTACCCTCCCTGCTCTCACTCTCTCACTTTCTCTTTCTATTTCAGCCCTCTCCTCTCTCGGCACTTTCTTCTTCTCTGCCCCTCTGTCTGTCTGCTCCCATTGGCTCTTGAAATATGTGCACCTGCAGGGAGGAATCAGTCAGAAGTGAATTGTGCCAGTTTAATGATAAAGGTGTAACAATTGTACTGATAATGACACAAACAATGTGCACAAGTAATGTCACACAGCCCCAGTGTCGCACGCTACGTTCGAGGGGCTTAATCAATGACTATCTGCATGCAGAGATAAATCAAATTCGAAAATTGCGCTAAGCCTGTCCCAATCTCCTCAGGCTTTTTATCAGAGGCTTTTGCATGATGGGTCTTTATGTTATGATAAATTGCACTTCCCATGCACTGCGCCCAAACCGCTTCGGAAATTGATTTCGGAAAACATTGCGTAATCTACTTAGCTTCGGTCCTGACAATCTAGAGTATCGATCTCCCTAAGCCGAAGACACGACGCGCGTCCAAGTGTGCCCGCTCCGAGGTGATTGTACACAGTAAACACACGGCGGACCACACGCGCAAACTTCACAGTGAGACACCCACCGGGGCGAGCCACCCTCTTGCTTTGGGTGGTCCTCGGGTGGAGAGTCCCGGCCATCAATAATCGTGTGTTATTTGGCAGTAATTGGCTCCTAAATGAGCGGTGTCAGCTGGAAGGCACCTGAGAGGTCAGAAGTCCACAGGCTCTGAGGGGGGGGGGTCTGACTTTGGGCCCCGTGGGACGCTCAGGATGTAATGGGGGCGGGTGGAGGTGGTTACTCCCCTTTTTTCTCTCTAGATTTCTGTCTTCTGCCCTTCCTGTGTGTGTGAAATGAAGCCAGCGGTTTAATTAGCAGCGTCTCTCCCTGCCGAGGATCCGCAGTAATTACCGACGAGGACCCCTCCGTCTCTCGTTGCAGTTATCTCTAGCCGCGTGTGCGGAGCAGAACCCGTCCTCTGTCCAGCGCTGCACACGAGCAACCTCTGTCGTCGATAACCGCCCCGCGCTCGTGGCCCCCGCGATGTTTATGGCCGACATCTAATCACCAGTTTCCCCCGCCCCCACCCCACCCCCTGCTTATTAGTGCTAAGTGAATTGTACGGAAGGAATTCAAACGAAAAGGGAATTCTTCCCTTGCTGGACTTTAATTGTTTAAGTTTCAACTCTTTAACACCACTTATCTCCTGCTTTAGGTAATTTAATTTAAAAAAAAAAAAGTCCTCGCTGTAAAGATAAAGTGCCACACACTGGCGTGGGTGTTATTTGTCCATGAGTCTGGATAGTAAGAGGCAGAAAGCTGTGTTAGCTGGCCATTGGAGGTGTTTGCTATTTAAGGGCAGAATGCCCAGTTAGATGAAACATAACGAGGGACTGGAAGTGATACCGGAGCCCTCCGTGGAAGCGGTTGACCTTTCGCGAGGCATCGGACAGGCATGGTTACAGCCCGCGGGTGTGACATGAGTGGTGTAATGATCGGCTTGTTCTGGTGAGGGCCTCACCGGTGTTTTCACATCAGGAGCCAATTTAAAGGTCTTTTATTTGGCTCTCCAACTTTGAGGGCGAACCACATGGTTTCAGCGTTAATGTCAATACTGCTCATTGTTCTCTTTAAGACAAGGCACATAAACAAATGTGGGTTGTAGGTGAACGAATGTTTCTTAAAAGCAGGGGTTACATTCAAATAACTTAATTTAGCAATTATATTTTGCAACAATTGTGTTTCAAACAATGTGATCGATCTCATCGCTGTTTTTTGTGTGTTCCGAGTTGAGAGTATATCCTTTTGGATTACTGTGCAACGGATGCACGGGCCCAATTGGGTATCATGGTCCCCTTTTCCATGAGAGTCTTCTCACAGCGCGCGGATGTTTACGCCGCTGCCATCGTCTCGTAAATGCTCATTAATTTCATCCCTCCGTGGCAAAATCATTTCCAGGAGAGGCAATTCAGCCGCCTGTTCCTTTCAATTCACCGCTCACGTCAATCAAGTCCTCATGCAGTATCCTGCAAAATGGAGGTGTTATATGCCTGCAATTATCATGTCATATACTCGAAAATGTAAATGAACGTGTGTGTAAAATTAAATTTATGGGTTGTCAGTGAAGAATAAGAACCAGGAGAGCAATTACTTATCTGCTTTCATCTCGGAGCCTCCGATACGTCAAGCAGAAAAGCACGCAGTTAAACGCCGGGATTTGCATTGTGCTGCACTTCACAATGGACGTGGGCCAGTGCCTTTACTCCCCTTTCTTTCTTCCTCCTGCCTTTTCTTCCTTCCCCCTCTTTTTGGTCGGAGCACTGGTGAAACAAAAATGATAATCCCCCATAATGCCACTGAAAAGCCAATGTGAGTGTAAAAGAAACTTCCTAATTCCATAACGAGGTTCTTTCCTGACTCTTTTTTCTTTATCGTACTCGTCAGGGGCTGAAATCATACATTATTCATCTAAGGGTATCTGACTATGAATGCTTACGTTTCGCCACTCTCGCAATGGACAAACAGCGTGAAGCCAAATTTAGATTTAATTCCACTTCAGATATGCGCGTGCATACGTCGGTGTTAAATCCTCCTCGTCTAAGCCCGCATCCCTTTTGTGAATCAAAACATCTTTGTGCTAGCATCCAATTAATAGTCTTAATGAGTGCATCACTCATGTTGTTTCTCAGCTGCACTCGTCCCATTGTCACGGCATCCAACACAAAACCAGGAGTGACTGCGGGGGTAATTACTTACCCAGCAAATGTACCTTTAAGGGTTAATAACATTGAAGGTGTAAGCACAGCATTTGCATAATTACACACAGACTGTTTCATTTGCAACTTTTTGACGGCTTTTGTTCAGCACTTTGCTTATTGTGGATGCGTTTTCTTCAGGCGCTCTTGCCTGGAGGAGTCCAGAGAAGAAAAGACATGTACCACAACATCCTCCTCCTCCTCCTCCCCCTCCTCCTCCTCCACCACCTCTCCCACCTTCCATGGAGTCCCTTCTCTCTAAGACCCTAATGAACAATGGAGGCAGGATTTGTTTGAATATGAATATGAATGTGCAGCGGGGCCGGCTGGAAGTTGACCTTCAGCTGTGATTTTCAGTTCATCAGGATTAGTCAAGGCGGGCGATCAGGAGCCACTAATGCATAATGACTTCTAAAATGAAAAATGTGTAGTGACCATGCAAATGTCTCGGCTAATCAAAGAGGGGGGAAAAAACCTGGGCGGTGGGCGGAGGGGGGGGGGAGCTAAACAAGGACGTGTCAAGGCCTGACAGAGAGGGAGAGAGAGAGAGGGAGGGAGGAGAGAGAGACATGCATGGAAAGTAATCAAGGCAGCTTGATTAGCTGGCGATGAGGACAGGGATGTATTATTGGCCCCTTGACACACCGTATAGGCTAGCTACTGTCATGGCAGCCCCATGCCAAACACCGTTACTGCCATTAACCTCCAGCAAAGGTGCCACTACATGCTGATGTTCAAATTGTGTTATAAAGGTGGTCTTTCAAGAATCATTGTTGACAGGATGCAACGTCCAGCCCTAGAAAGATGTTACATTAGTACACTGTGCTAGAAGCTGCTTGAACGGTCATATGGAGAAGGAAGAGGTTATTTAAGCCTCTTCAATCAGGCCAGTGAAGTGTGCGTATGTATGAGGAATCAAACGGTGTTTTTTTTTCCGAGAGCACCACCGTAAAGTCAACAATATTCAACACAGTATTTTATATTCCCTACAAAAGTTGTTTCATTTTTAAGCAGCCACAAGGAGCTGAAACTCCTTAATGTGACTGTTGGCCCACTCTCCCGTGTTACAATCAAAGCGCGGGGAGGAACGTGTCCTTTGTTTATTGATCTGCTGCCTCTGAAGTCTCTTCCGCTGCTTCACAGGATTTGTATCTTTTAGTTTTTGTCTTGGTAGAGGTCTTTAACTGAAGTTTGACGGATTTTAATGACGGCCTCTCTGAAAGGGACAACGTGTCTGTAGAGAGCAAGACACAATTGTATAAGAAACTGCCCCCTCCATGGACAGAACATTTTTTATACACGACCCACCTCAGCATCCACTTCATCAGTGTAGTTTCAATCAACTTTTTTGCATGTTTTGCCTTGGCAGCACAGATAGACTGCTAAAGTGAGGGGGGTGGGGGGGGGTTCAAGGGTCCTGCTAATTAAGGTCTATGTCTATTTAAATCCTCCACTTTTCCCACCGGGCTGGAGACAGAGAAAAAAAATACGAGCAACACAAAAGCACAGCACCCACCTGTCCTTCAGCATCTCCTCTAGGCTACCAAGCGTCACGGCCATGGGAGGCCTGCTCTCCTACCTCTCAGTCGCCAATTACTACACTCCCAGTAGATCCATGACAGTCTCTGTGGTGCTCTATTTCTCCAACTTCCTCTGTTTTTTTTGTTTTTGTCATCCCATACGTGTCCCGTTCATCGCGCCTCTTTCGGCCCTAACGTTCCCTCCTCTTTTTTCCGACCGTCCTTGTCCAGGTTCCAGTGTCAGTGGCCATGATGAGTCCCCAGGTGATCACGCCGCAACAGATGCAGCAGATCCTCCAGCAGCAGGTGCTCTCCCCCCAGCAGCTCCAGGCCCTGCTCCAACAGCAGCAGGCCGTGATGCTGCAGCAGGTACAGACACTCGCACCCAATGCTGAAATGCATGCCCCACCTGAACCAATGCGATCCCACGTTACTTCATTTAATCCTTAACACGTCCACAAGTCACTGCGGTGCGACCGGTCGCTCGGCCCAGCACTCCGCCTCCCCCCCCTCACTCCTCCCCCCGTGTCCTTGACACGCTTACCGAGAGGAATCTGGAATTGACGTACTTGTTCACGTCACCTCTAATTAACGCTCGCTTTGAGAGTTGCCTGACAAGCATCCATCAGGGATGGTGAGAGTAGGGCACAGTTGGGTTGAGCACGAGGAGCCGAGTGACAGGTGACGGATGATGTAATATTTGGAATCAGCTTGAGAAAGCACACACTCAGCCCGGTGTCAGAGTTGAAATGCATTTGTCATTCATTGATTTGATTAAGGGAGAGAGAATTGTTTAATTAAGAGTGTCACTCATTCTGATTATTCCTCTTGATTAAGAGCGCCCAGTCTCCAGGTTTAGTTTCAGTACAGTGGCGTCACTTTGTGGCGTCTCTCTCCATAGCAACCCAACGCAATGAACGTTTTGCATATTTTTTACATGGTCAGTCGTACTTAATCACATGCTCACAATCTCTCATAGGCATAGAGTGTACAGTTATATTATTGATTGATGTTGATGAAGTGACTACAGCGGGAGATACAAAACAAGCTCCAAGGACTGATTTTTACACGGCAGAACTGGACCGTGTTTTCCATTGGCCCGTTTCATGAACCCCTCTTTCGGACCAAAAGGCCATCCTGGAGATCACAAAACTGAAATCACTTTGTAAACAAATGTCATGATACGTGTATTAAAGGAATCCGTTTAAACTGATTTTAAGTTATATCATTTAGAAAAATTAAAAGAAATCCAATAAATCCGAAAGCAAACCTGCTTCTCGGCTTGTGAATACAGCAGTAAATGCAACGCGCTTGAGTTTAGAGATGTGTACTTCGACAGAGATGGATTTACCCTTAAATCTTCTTTTGGTGTGTGTGTCTATGTGTGTGTGTGTGTGTGTGTGTTTACAGCAACACCTGCAGGAGTTTTACAAGAAACAACAGGAGCAGCTTCATCTGCAGCTCCTCCAGCAGCAGCACCCTGGCAAGCAGGCTAAAGAGGTAGGTGCACCACGTGTGCACTTATTGACCTTTGACTTTTCGACCCCTCAGATAGGTTTGCACTAAAATACTGGCTCGTGTTCAAATCCGTCAATGAGCTCTCATTTTGTCAACCAAGAGCGCACATTTCCTTTTTAGGTAGATTACGGTAGGTAGATTCTTCTTTGAACGAAATCAACTGATTAATTTGTCGTTCTCCAGTAGAAGAATCCCCCTCCCCAAACAAACACGCCACTAATGAACACTTTCAAGGACCAGAGACAAAGGCTCCTCGGTCTAAGCCCGTTAATGAATTGTTGCCACAAACCCACAAACACATGTGCTAAATTTACAGCGCAACGGCGCCCATAAATCACGTTGACAGGCAGCGGGTCGACAGACGTGGCTCCGTCTCTTCGCCGGAGAAGAAGAGACGGGCGCAAAGGCCCTTTTGAGACGTTCGCCTTTGCCGCGTGTGAGCTCCACGCGGTGCGTGAACCCTGAGAGGCGGTCCAGGGCCGCATCCAAGCAATACGGGTAGAATCGGTTAAATTGAAAAAAAAAAGGTATCCCACAACACACACTTGGCCTTTCTCTTTTCTTTGTCGCTCCGTGTGTGTGTGTGTGTGTGTTGCTCCTCTCCGTATCTCCTCATTATGCTGCCTCTGACAGGAAGCTGCGTCTGACATCCCGGCGGCTTTGTTTCTGTTTGGATTTGTGAATAGAGTTTTTCAGGGGCCCCCGCCATCAAATATGGAATAGAAATTGCTCCGTTATTTCTCTTGAGGCAGAGCGGGGGGGCGTTGGAGGGGGGGGGGGCGACAAACTGCCTTCCTCTATCACTCCATTATGCAGTCTGCTTTCCAGTGAGTGCATCACAAGTTTTACCCCCCTGCCCTCCAAACGCTTTTGAGTGTCCACTCACTAACGTACAGAAACACAAAAACACGTGTATGAGGAAAGGAGCACAAATACTGAGTAAATCAAATCGCCAAACATGCACACGGACCAAAATATGACCTCTCTCGTGCGTCCTGTCTTTCGACATTACACGCTAAAAAGACTGAACATGTTGCATCTTATCTAATAGTGTGCACTTAAAGCCAATTACGAGCTTTTTGTTTCCCCCGAATACTCCCCCCCCGCCCCCCCTTTCTGACTTGTTTTGCCACGGTCACTGAGTTTGATGCTTTTTATGTTTGTTGTTGTTTTTGGGTTTTTCGCAGGGCTTACGCAATTGTCTGTCTGGCCCAGCGATAAACAACTCTGTGAGGCAGCGAGGGAGAGCAGAGCGGGGGAGGAATGGAGAGGGGGGGGGGGGTTAGTGGACAGGCGCCCGGGCATGTGTGTGCATATGTGTGTGTGTGTGTGTGTGTTTGCACTTGTGTCCTATGCATTCACACGCATGTGATGCTGTAAATCTCTCATTCCGCCCGGCTCCCTCTGGCCACATAAGCTGTAACAGACCATCAGTGAAGGCGAGACAATTAACTATCAGGGGTGTTGGGAGGGGGTTAAAACAAAAGGGGGGGGGGAATTTACCCAAAGGTTAATATCCTACACCATCCCCAAACACCTTTACTGATGGGCTTGAAAACTGGGATGGCTGTGTGTGTGTGTGTGTGTGTGTGTGTGTGTGTGTGTGTGTGTGTGTGTGTGTGTGTGTGTGCTCGCAGACATGGGCGCACAAAGAGGGGAGAAGGCAACAGCAGTGTGGTGCAGCCCGAAAAAACAGCAGGGGAGACTTAAGGGGAGCACAGGCTAGAGAGAAGGAGAGCGTGCAGAGAGGCAGGAGCAGAGGTAGAGCTAAGGTCACAGCGGGGGCGCGTGAGGGCGGACTCCCAGACACCGCTCCGTCTTCCCTCTCCTCTGCCGCTCCTCGGTTGTTAATTTGTCTGTCATTTCTTTTCCCCTCCCTCCTCCTCCTCCTCCTCCTCCCTTTGCTCCTCTCTTGCTCCTCTCCTCCTCCTCCTCCTCCCCTCTACAGCAGCAGCAGCAGCAGCAGCAGCTGGCCGCCCAGCAGCTCGTCTTCCAGCAGCAGCTCCTGCAGATGCAGCAGCTCCAGCAGCAGCAGCACCTGCTCAACATGCAGCGGCAGGGCCTGCTCTCGCTGCCCGGCCCCGCCCCGGGCCAGGCCGCCCTGCCCGGACAGACCCTCCCCCAGCAAGGTAGGAGAAAGAAGGAGGACCGGAAGTGTGGGGTCGGAAGGGCGGCAGTGCGTGGGAGGGGAAGGAGGGGAAGTAGTGGTGCCAAGGCAGGGGGGGGGTGAGGTGTAGCACGTGACTCGCATTGGACACGTGCTTCCTGTGTTTAGTTGCTGCTACTGTCACCTTCGTTGTCCACCCCCCCCCCCCCCCCCCCCCCCTCCTTCCTGTCAGATTTGCGTCGTACATCTCAAAAGCATGTGTGTCACCTTTCCCTCTTCTGCCCTTCCATCATGCCTGTTTTTTTGTTTTTCTCATTGGCATTCACCCGAGTCTCCCCCCACGTTATCTCTAAGTATGTCTCTATGTCTGCTAGCTCCTCATTGGTATGCTCTACTACCTTTCACTTTATCCCAAACTCTCCACAGGATGGTTTGCTTTTGACTTCCATTCTCTCTCTCTTCTTGTCTTGATTGTAGCTTTCTCTGTCTTGCGTTTCTCTCTCAGCTGTGCTCTGCCTATGTTGACTGTTTGTTCTTTTCCCTTCTATGTTTCTGTTCCCCCGCACCGCGGCATCCTCCTCCCTTTCCCCGGTTGTTGTTGTTGTTGTTTACTGCCTTCACTGGGAGAGGAGAAAGGATAAAAGGACTCAGGGAAAGACGAGAGCAGGCTCCCATTTTCCCCCTCGGAGCCGAGTAAACACCTGTGTTTGTTGTTTACCGGCAAAATGGCGTTGATGGAAAACAGTAGGCCGCCGGTTGTAGGGAGGGAATCAAAGTAAGGGAATATTGCCTTATTAGTTCCAAAGCTCAAACCAAGCGGTTTGCAAAGCTGATGGAGCGTACACACACTTAATACTTTATACATCACTCGTCCTGGCGGAAAACACCCAAATCTTTGAGACTGAGGTGATGTATCAACAGGTTTAAATCAGGACTTACCGGAGTAGAGAAGAAGAAAACAACAGGTTTTACTGTGTATGAGTTCATCGGATCACAGTCTCGCACAGGGCAGGGCCGTGAGTCATGCAGTTTTATGCAACTTTTAGGTTGTTTATGTAACTATTTCTTTATTTGAGCAGCTGTATTGATAGAATAAACTGTAAACATTGCTCTCTGTCCGTCCCCGTCTTTTTTTTTCCCCTCCCGCTCTCCATTCTCCAGCTGGCCTGAGCCCTGCAGAGCTCCAGCAGTTGTGGAAGGATGTGACCGGAGGCGGGAGCCACACCATGGAGGACAACGGCATCAAACACAGCAACAGTGGCAACGGTGGCAACGGCGGCAACGGCGGCGGCGGAGGTGGCGGCGGCGGTTTGGACCTCACCACCAACAACTCCTCCTCAACTACCTCCTCCTCTAATCCCGCCAAAGCGTCGCCGCCCATCTCCCACCACTCCATTGCAAACGGACAGTCCCCAGCCCTCAACCACAGGAGAGAGAGGGAACGGGAGCGCGAGCGGGAAAGGGAGCGAGAGAGGTAAAGTGACTGAAATGTCCCCGTCCCCCACCTGCCCCCGCCCCCACCCTTTTTGTTGCAGTACCAAGTAAAAAGGCAGAGAAGATGAAAAGTTTTGCCGCGGCTTGTTTTTTTTGTCTCCGCGCCGCGATTCAACGCAGGAGCACATCGGAACGCCGCGGCGCCATCCGGAGCGCTCGCCTTTGTTTGAAACAACAGTGTCGTCGCAGCAGGGATAACAAGATGTTTTGTTTGTTTGTTCAATAGTTTATTAGCGTCTTGGTAATATTAAGAAGGTAAGAGCCTCGCTCTCCCAGGGGACCGCGTGTGCCATTGAACGCGCTTAGCTTGCACACAGATATCAAACGCACAGGGAGGAAGCCATGCAGGCAGGCGCACTTACAACACGCCTCTCAGGCAGGCGAGACAAGGTAACCTCCTTGTACATTAAGTATTTAGTGCCTTCTTCCCTTTTTTTCCCTTTTGAAAATTACCTTCTTTGCTTGCTTGTCATGTAAACAGAATATGTGATGCCTTGAGTGGCGTTTCCGGGATGTTTATCCTTGTGATGGCGTCTTTTATAAATGCACCCGGCATCAAAACACTGACTGTTCACACATCCGCCTATCTGGCCCATGCATTATTCAAAGGCTTTTCTTGGGCGATATTATAATAAGGACTTAGGGTAGAGGCGCGCGTGTGTTCCAGTGTGGATGCTCGGCAGAGAATCACACTGGAGGTGGAAGTGCTGTGTAATTGGTTTAAAGTAGATGCTATCCCTCCAGTACCACTAAAAGGAGGCTTGAAAAAGATACCTTTAGTAGCAGGACAACAGAAGCAAAGACAGCGGTAGGGAGGGAATGAGAGGAGAAAAGAAGAAGACTTTTCATCCGCCTGTGTCCCGAGGGGTGTGTGCCGTCTCATAATGATCGAACAAGGAGTATTGTCAGGAGCGCTGCTTACTAACATGCCACGGATCGATGTGGGGGAAGCCCCTCTGTAAAACATAGTGTGAGCTCTTCCAGTGCAACACACACACACATATGCTCGGGCCACACACATGCACATGCAAGCGCAGGCATGAGTGGCGGGCAGATAAAACACGCACAAACGCACACAAACTACACGCAGCGCAACACACTCCGTTTCACATTTTCGCACAGAGAGACACGCACGCACACACCGGCGGCGAGCCTAAAAGGTTAAACTGTCATCTTTAATAGGATGTGCTGTCTAGGCGGGGTCGTAACTTATTTGGGTGCCATTTAAAAAACCCCAGAGCCCCCCCCCCCCCGACCCCTGTGTCCTCAAAGAACATAAGTTACACACAGTATTAATCTCTCGATGAAAATGATATGGCTGTCTGGATTTTGAATGTTTACGTCCACCCCTCCACCAGATAATGGCTTTACAAGATGGAGCCGGGGTGGAGGCAAAGCTTCAGATACTTGTTGAGTTCCATGATGTTAGCTCGTAGTTTAGTCAACGCCGTCTTTAAGTTAATGGAGTAGCCTGATGTGATCATTTGGATTGATTGGGAGATGAACTGTTGGCTAAGGTAACACACTATTATCCCTCATCTCCGATGTTTCAAGGCTGTCTTGTTTTTAATCGGCCTTCCTCCTTCTAGCTTTGCTTATCTGTTGCTTCAACATAACTGACCTGTTTGACCCCGTCTCTTGTTGATTGCGTCACCCGACACGCACAAAACTCCTCAAGCCTTTTGCCGACCCTGCTATGAACTTGATGCCCCCCCTCCCCACACTCTTACTCTCCTAACCTACCTGTCTCTTCTTCTACTTTTTGCTTTAGTTCACTACATGAAGAAAGTGGAGGCACCCACCCTCTGTACGGCCACGGTGTGTGTAAGTGGCCCGGCTGCGAGAACATCTGCGAGGACTTCGGACAGTTTTTGAAGTAAGACTTTGTCGCAGCGACGTCTTCTCTCCTTGTGGCGATTCCATTTTATTCTGTGTGCGTACATGAAGCCATCTCTTTTATTGTGAAAGACACACACAGAAGTTATCCCCTGCACCACAGCACCTCCTTTCTGTGGCTAAAGCGGGGGGAAGAGGAGGGGGGGTGGCTAACAAAGAGAGCATCGCCGCCTTTCAGAGAGCGCGCTTTGACCTTCCAGACAGCCGGTTGACAGGGTTGAGCTCTCGCAGTGCAGGATGCCCACCAACTCTGATCCATAACAAATCTCCTTCCTGGTGTGGAAGAGCTTGATAGGTTTGTGAAAAAGCGTCAAAAGCTAATGGCAACTCGCACGGCCGCACACTTACCTCCACAACAAAGGCCCCCATTCACCGTTGTCATGGTGCAGGCGCCAGAGCGAATTAACTCTTCATGCTCCATCAACAATTTAGTTAATTAGCTCATTTGTAATTGGCCGGCTTTGTTGCCAGGATGTTAGTGGGGGGACATCAAAGGAAGAAGGTGTTTGCAGCACTGCCGATTACAGGTTATCACATTGCCACTCACTGAGAGCCTCTCTCCCGCTCTCCCTCCCTCCCTCGCTCTCTCTCTCTCTCTCACACACTATCACTCTTTCCCTGGCTCCCTGCTCCCACACAGAGAAAAGAAAGGGAAAGCTTTAATTTGAATATTCTAATTAGATTTGTAATTAACTGTGAAATAACGATCTGGCGAGTGTTTTTCACCGGCTGTAAATGTCCATGTGAATTCGCGTAAACTATTGAAATCAGGACATTGTTCGGGCGTATTTTCCAAATTATGCATTTCTCTACAGTAGTGACTGTAATAAGTTGCAGAAAGAGGAAATAAATAAACTAGTCCACCCATGGGGGAGCTGCTGCAAGATTTAGGTCAGGTTTTCACTAATTCTACAGCAGCTCCTGAGTTAAAACTAAAAAGGTGTATCTGTAAAATGATATGACGAATAACAAAACCAGAGTTTACCAGTATGTGAAAGATGCAGCCAGACACAACATCAAGATGCATTTTAGCAACACATAGATTTGAATTGAGATGAATATATATATCCCAACTATTGCCTGACAAGTGTGTTTCCTTATCCGCTTTAGAAAATGTGTTACATATCAATGCCCAAAACTGTTTTCTTCAACAAACAGAACGCATCCAGCTGCTATGATTTTCGAAGCCAAGCTTATGAAAAGCCAGTTTTTCTGTTTGCATCACATCGGCCAACCTGAACTACAAGCTACAAGAGTTTGCCATGCAGCTTGTGTTTGTGTGTGTGTGTGTGTGTCTGTGTGTGTGTAGGCAAGCCTGTATCAGATTAGCAGGTTTTCTGTGTTCTGGTCCAATCACCTCAGGACACTTACTTAAAGAAGACACCCGGCCATCCCTCTGCACAGTGCGCTCTGTTCACACGCAAACACAACCTAAGTCTGTGTACGCTCAGGATACTGCGTCTAGGTAGCTTACCTTGGTTACCCGGGCGAGGGGCATTGATACGCCGCATAAAGCGATTTGCCTGTGAATCCGGTAAGCTGGTAAGCCGGAGCAAAAGGATACGTGGTTGTAAAGACAAACTGAGCGAGTCAGAGAAAACAGGTAGATTTCAAACGCTAAAGCAGAGAGCACAGGTAGGCAGATGGTTTTGTAAGAACACGCCAGAACATTGGCTGCTACAAAACAGAACAGTGTCTTGGTTCAGCCCCCCGTCACCCCCCCCCCCCCCCTGCAAGTCAGAGGCTGGCTCTGTACTGTAACCCAGCCAGCACATGAAAACAGGCACCAACAAAGCAGGCAGACTCGTCATCAGAACAAAGATGGCTGCTCGGTGGCGTGCCTTGGAGCAGTGATTGTCGGTGTCAGAGGGAGGCCTTTTATGTTCCCGGAGATGCCAGACACACACACACACACACACATGCGCGTACAGTTTAAGCGGGGTTACATAAAGCGGGTGTCAGATTTAGATGACAGTTTAGATGTTGGTAGTTGGGAGCAGGAAGCGGGGGGGTGGGGGGGGCACCCAAGTCAAGCTGGCGTCTCGTAGCTCGCTGCAGGAGCTCAGCTCAGCGGCGGTGACACGTTTAGTCATCCGTTGTTTTGTTGCGGATGAGGAAACTTGTCAAGATCAGCATTTAATAGCTCTTCAGCGTGCTTTTAAGTGTTCTCACCTGGAAAAGGTAGCCGCGAGGTGGCTGGCACCCTGAATTAGCTCTCTGAAGTTCAAAATGAAATGATATGGCTTGGGAATGTTTCTTGAGTGGAGGGGTGGTGGGGTTTTTGTGTGTATGTGTGTGTGTATTTGCGTTAATAACAGAAGAAATTCAGAGGGTGAGACATTACTACTATTAGTGCATTAGAGATATTTGTGTGTTTTTTATTGTAGACACAGAAAATAAAAAAATGTAATTAATGCTTGAACATTGAGACACTTTATATACAATATTTGCATATCTGTATGAAGCCTTGCCTGAACAAAAAATATGTTCTACTTATTGCAGTCTATGTAACAACTTATTGGTATAAATGAAAGAAAAAAAAAAAGGATTATCACATCCAGATTTTTGGTTCTTTCATCATCATCATATACATGTCATGTCCTCCCATATGACCTTTCCCCTCGGATATCAATGTCTCCCCACCTCAATAAAATACAGCCTTCTCTAGACATAAACAGATAAGTGCTCCCACACACACACGCTTAACTCTTCCACTCTCTGTCACCCATCTGCTCTCCTTATTACTGGCAGGAATGCAGGCTCCATGTTAAAAAAAGGCCCGCTCAGCCGCTAACGTGAACCACGGTGTCTGTAACCCGCTGCTAATTAAACCCTCAAGGCTGTGGCCAAGTGTCTCCATCTCTATATGTAACGAACACACACACACACACACACACACACACACACACACACGCTGTGGAGGCAGGCCCCTGGCCCCTGGATAGCTGAGCTCCCCTCTACCCCTGCACATGTCTGCTGCACTGTGACAAGACCTTTAAAACGGAGGGCATTACTTATGCACCACCACCATGGGGACAGCGCATGTGTGTGTGTGTGTGTGTGTGTGTGTACGTGTGTATATGCTCTTGTTTATGCATGGCAGTAGGTGTGTAGTTCCATTTGAGTGTGTATGCATTTGAACTTGGTGTTTGTTCTGTGTTTGTATGTCACCTCGACTGTTCGGGGGCCTAACTCGCTGTCTCTGCTGGGCCTTTGTAGCCCCTGATAATACACACAGACAATTAGCAAAACATGTATCATCCGTATGTGCTGCCCTGAGTCGATTTATTATTGGGCCCGTAGTGGACATTGATGGCTTATACATATTCATACATATACAGCTGTGGGGGAAAACCTTTTGATATGTTTTGTTCCCTATTCTCAAGCAACTGCAGCATCCAATAACAAATAAAAGAAAATCGCTACCAATGTCTGTGTCTCACCTCTCCCTCCCCCTCACTCTCTATTTATCACTCTCTTTGTCTCTTTATTTGCTCTGAGTTCTCTACCTTTGCTGCATCCCCCTGTCTCCATCTCCATCCTTTCTTCCCTGTTCACACACGGTCTCTTCATCACATGAGTAATTCCCTCTTCAAGGCAGAAATCGATGTCCCTCTAAACCGAGGCACGGACAGTAAACATAAACAGGAGCCGGCCGAGCGTGACAGTGAGACTTGCACCTCTAGGTTTAGCAGATCACACCTGGATGCTACGGTTATGAGTCGCACAAAAACAAAAAAATCAAGAGAGAAGGGATGGAGAGAGAGGAAATAAAATACCTTTTTGCCCACAATTCAATCTACAAGGCATCATTTTCTGCGCCCCCTCTCTTTTATTTATTTATTTTATTATTAATGCGCAGGAGGACACGCTTCTATTTAAATATTTCATAAATGTATCTGGTAATCCGGCTGTAATCGCCTTGCTAGCTGGCTAGCGGTGGAAGGTGTGAACATATACACTAGCTGAAGCGCAGTCGATAGGCCTTATCACGATCGCACACACGTACATTGACAAAATGGGAGAGAAACAAGCGGCTTGTCGATGAGAGGAAAACTTAATAAAGATTTCTCCCCCCTCTCTTTATTTTTTTATTTTTGTAATGAGGTATCTTCAGGGACAGCGAGCAGCCCGCTCTGTGCTTTTGAAGCAGCTGTAATTCATGACACACGCCATACATCAAGTGCATAAGATAGCATTATGGGCAGTGAAATGAAAAGGGTATTTGCAACATTAGTTCCCTCATCCTGCGAGGGACGTGATTAAATGATTAATGTAATGCCCCCTTTTTGCATGCGCATTCTGAAACAGCAATTAGGCACAGAGCGGGAGAAACCCACCAGTTTGTCCCTCCCTTCTCCGCCCGCTATCCCTCATCCATCCCACTCCTCACCCCTCCTTTCTTTTTAATGCTACCTCATTCTTGATTTATAATGAAAAAATCTGAGCATTAGACCCAAAATGGAGACAAAAGCATAAGCAGGGATGTGATGGAATAGTTTTAAATGTGTGCGGTTTAATTGAAAGGTACAGAGCTATTGTGATTACAAATGTTCCATTCAGCTTTTGATTGGCAGGCCAAGAGAATCCGGCTCAATGGGTTCTTGTTTTGCAGATTGCAGATAAACAAGAAGTGAGGGGTGTGTAAGAGAAAAGAGGAGTATGTGGTAGGGATGTGTGTTTCTGTATCAGTGTGTGTGTGCGCGTGTGTGTGCGCCAATCAGTGTTTGTGCCAGTTCATGCTAATGTGAGCGAGTGTGTGTGTTCTTAGATAAAGCAAAAGCCATGGAAAGAGAGAGAGGGAGAGATTTTGTACTCCCTCTAATGCACTGGAGGCAGCGTTGTAAATGATCATTGAAGGGTCTGCAAGCTAACCTATAATTACTGGAGATAAAGTGGCAGCTCTGGCATTTCATAAGCATGCCTCCTCAAAGCTTGCTTTGTGAGTTTGTCACCAATGATCATTTAGATAGAGGCTCATTACCCAGCATCACAACACTTTAGAAACCCCTTTCGCCCCATATTGGTGTGTGTGTGTGTGTGTGTGTGTGTGTGTGTGTGTGTGTGTGTGTGTGTGTGTGTGTGTGTGTGTGTGTGTGCATGTGTGCATATGTGTGCTTTACCAGGAATAAAGGTCTATCTTCATGGTGAGGCTCTTTTGTTTCGTTCAGACGAAATCCAATCAAGACAAAAAAAAAACGTCATTGACTGTTATAGCTGTCTGGCTGCCTTTTTCATTTTAATGAGGCGAACACAGCAGATACATTTAAGGTGTCTGCTGCTGGATAATGCACCTTCAGTGGAAGAGCTGCTTTTGTGTGTCAAATGTTGCCGGTGTTAAATCGTGTGTATTGTTTTCGGTAAACGAAGGAGACAAAGTCGTTCTGCTGGGCAAGCATCTTTTATTCTCTGCAGAAAGCGGCGCTCAGGGTGGTGCTGAAGTTAGCCATCTCAGCTGGCACGGGCCCATTGTCATGTTAAACATGGCACCACACACCGTCATGTTGCTTCTAATTACCTCATTTCAGAGCGGAACAATGGTTCCTCGCAGTATCCTATAGATAATTGTCCCCAGTATAGAAATATTATCATTAAAACAAAACAGTGGTGAAGTTGATACTGTAATTATCATCCTCCTCCATTTGGATCATGGTGAAAATGAAGGGAGTTTTGCTGTCTTCTGCTTGCTTTGACATATTTGATAGATTTTAATTGTTTTTCTCTCTCTCTCTCTCTCTCTCTCTCTCTCTCTCTCTCTCTCTCTCTCTCTCTCTACCTGCAGGCATTTAAACAGCGAACATGCCCTCGATGATCGGAGCACAGCGCAGTGTAGAGTCCAAATGCAAGTCGTACAGCAGCTGGAAATACAAGTAAGTTTTCTGACGAATAATAAAAAGGAAAAAACTCGGTACAGAGTTGGAACAAAGCTATAGGTACTGTTACATTTTTATTGCCATTGTCCCGTTGTACTATAGCGAACTCGTTTCTCATTTAAGTCACTTATCATCCAGTCGAAACAAAAAACGTTGAAAGTTATGTGAGTGAGCGTAAGGCCACACTGTGGTCTGCTGAATACTTCCAGACAAGCAGGACCTGCTGAATTCAACAAAGCCCCTAAACAAAGGAATCCTCAGGCCTTACAATCAAAGCCATTATGGCTGTTTTAATTGAATTAAGCGTGTGCTTTATTTTCTCTGCTTTCTTTTTTTTTTTCCAATTAATAGCGAGCGCATCTCTCCCGCTCTGCTGTGTTAATTAACTGCACTTTGCACCTGAAGAAAGCTCAAAAGGAGGAAACTATTTTCAGTAGGTGGAGCGTGACCTTATTAAGAAGTCATGCTGGCTAGATAATGAGAGCGCTGATTGAGCGACGTTATTACTCAGCACTGCCGACAGCCGCTCCTCCACCTTTAGAAACAAATAGATACGTGTGTCTTAAACGAATGCCAGCTGGAAGAGTTCAGTCCTCGTGTTGAAACGGGGCCGTTAGAGTTTTGGCTGTTTCAACACTGTACTGCCACAAAAAGTTCCATTTGGAAAGTGTGTTCTCTCCCTCTGCTCCTCTCTACCAGAGTAAAGCATGTCCTCCAGCAAATACTTATTTTGTGGGTGTGATAAACTGTTTATATCTAATTGTCAGGCATCCGGTCTTAAAGGAAAATACACTGTTGTCCTGTTAAAAGAGAAAATCTTTTTCTGTGTTTCTTCATTGAAACAAAAATCTATTGAAGCTTGTGCTTTACACTGTGACCAATTACAGTGCACTCGTGTCCTGTCTCTTCTCTTCCCCCTTTTTTCTTTCATTCCTTACTCCCACCAACCCTCTCTTGCTCTTTCTTTCCACGAGAGCCGTCACTAGTAATGAGGCCCAGCACTGTCTGCTTCTGCACCTCTGTGTGTGTGTGTGTGTGTGTGTGTGCACGCCTACTTGCATGTGTGTGTTCCCTGTGTACTTGGTCCTTGTGTGTGTGTGTGTGTGTGTGTGTTAAGGGTGTAGGGTGTTTGAGCCTTTCACATGGTCCGGTCCCTGTCACTCCCTGTGAATTAGATTGATGATAGGCGACGGCTGGGGCCAGTAACTGGACCAGGGAGGCGGGGCCTCCTGGTACACTGTTTGGGAGACCTCTTCACCTCTCCGCAGCGGCTGGCTGCGCTCCGCTCCCCTAACGGTCCCGAGCAGATGCTCAGGACCGCCTAATTTATGGCCCAACTGGCTTGTTACTGTCAGAGTCTCGCTGACCTAAATTCTGCTATTGACAAAAAGATGAAACGCCATTTGTTTGGCCCGACCTGTCTGCGACCTCTCCTCCCGCCAAGCCTCTTGCTCTGCTTACACCACCAGCAGAACTGTCTTCCTCGCTACCAAACTCCTTCTTTTCCGTCTGTCTGTCTTCTCTCTCCCCCATCACAACCGTACGTGGCGTGTTATTTATTCTCACCTTTTCTGCTATTCCTCCCCCTCTCATCTAATCCACTCTAATGTACTCTCTTCTTCTTCTGCTTCTCTCTTAACAGCTTTCTAAAGAACGTGAGCGTCTTCAGGCGATGATGGCCCACTTGCACATGCGGCCCTCGGAACCCAAGTCATCTCCCAAACCAGTGAGTGCATATTGCTCTGGCCACCGTTAACAGGCTCGGCTGTGAATGAGCCCCCCCGTCCTCCCTACACAGAAAATGAACAGCTTAACCACACGGCAGAAGATGACGGGGGGAGGGGGGGGAATGGGATTTGTAATACAAAGTTTTATCTGCCTCATATCGGGTATTGTGCGCCGTGAGAGGACAATAGAGTTTGCAAGTGTATTAGATGGCAGAGCGGCGGAGTCCTCGGCTAAAGTACAGGGTCATTTCTTGGTGATGGATATAATAGCCAAAACAACCTGTTGGCTGCTGATGACTGTTTGGCTCGGTGGCCGCCGTGGCACCGCAGAGCGGAATGAGAGGGGAGAAGATATGTCATTTGAACAACAAACACCTGGGAATTACAGCTGAGTGGAGAAGATGGCGTGATGTTGACATAAATACCAGCACGGCGGCTGAAATTGCTCGCGAAAAAAAAAAAATATCCCAAATTCTGAAAGGACGGAAGGAAATAGAAGAGGAAAATAAGTCTTACTCTCGCCTTTTACTTTTAGATGGAATGATGATGAATGCATTTTGCCCAAAACCAGTATTTGAATTTTATTATTAAGATGATACATTTCAGCAAACATTATTTCTTTCCAGTTTTAGACGTTTTCAAATGTTTCAGAGCAAAACATTGTTGGCGTGTTTCTGCTGCTTAGTAAGTGCCTACTTTCAATAGAATCATTTCCCCCATCACCTCTCATCATAGAATGTAGATAATCACAAGATAGCATAATTATCCCATAATTCCATCAGGAATCAAACTCCCTTTTTATTATTCAATCTCTCTCTATCTCTCTCTCTCTCTCCTTCTCTTTCTGTAGCTTTTTTTTTAATCTTCAAAACTCCAGAAGCTTGGTTCCATCTTGTCCAATAAAGAATTTGCCGCCTATAATCCAGCCTGAATATGAATGAATGATGCTAATGAAGTATTGCGTTACATAAAGCACACATGAAAGAGCGGCTAATTGCATTTGATGGTGGGGGCAATTCAGACAGAATTCTTAAACGAACAGTTATGTCCTCAGTTTTAAGGCTACTGCGCTTTTTAAGATGAAGATTTGGCACGGCGAACAACATGCACCAGTGCACGTGTGTGTGTGTGTGTGTGTGGCAAAATTGAGCAGACATGACAGAAGAGAAACGGTCCTCGGATTGCAAATGACAGCGTGGATTTACGGCCAGCACAATCACAGGTTCGGGATAGAAACAGCCGAGACACTTGATAAATATAGTAGTAGTAGTCTCTGTTTTAAAGTCCAATTTCTGAAGCTCACGAACAACCAAATGCCAGATGAACACAGGACACCAATACGACCTCATTTATTCTCTGAATCGCATTTCATTAAACGCTACCTCTTGGCCATTCCACGGATGGATGAGAATCAAAGTTAGCAAGGCTGCAAGTTCTGAATAATAATCTCTCTCTCTCTCTCGCTCAACCTTGAGCGTATATTTAGAATGAGCGAGAGGTGACAAAGTACTCACTGACCGTAAACAAGTCAATTTTAATAACAATGGCGAAGCACGCCTGCAAACACGTCAAGCTGTGTCTCGTATGTGAAGAGATGGCAAAAAGGGACAGGAAACGATGCTTTAACACAAAATGTACATGCCCAAATGAAGGCATTTGTTTAGAATTTAGTTTCCATATATCCACAACGTTTTTCCTGCCATACAGTATGTGAGTGTTTATCAAATTCTCTTTTGAGGAAAAAATGCTGTTGGGATTTCTTAGATCAGCGTCTGGTTTGGGTGCATATAGCAGGATGCAGGGAATGAGGGATCGCCACACAATGGCAATAAGGCAGTGGAGACAGCTAAATGGGAATAAAAATACTATTCATAAAAATAAAAAAAACTATCAAACATTGCGTCAAAAACTTTCACAAATAGATGTGTATACTTTTTCAACTGCACTCAGCAGAGGCCTGTATATAATCAGCCCATTGTGTAGAAGCTCCTTGGAGCTAAGTGGGCACATAATTATCATCATCTGAAAACCCCTGCATCCACTGGAGTCCCTCAAACTTGACATTTTATTGTATTTATCAACATATGCCACAAATGGCCGCCGGTACGTTCTCCTCAGCCTCGCTCCTCCGTCCCTCCTGCCACGTTCCCCTTCCCCTAATGCAAACTCTCGCGTCGACTGCATTCCACTTGTAGACTCACAATTAAGGCAATTTGGTTTGAATATGTAACGATGTCATTACCATTCCAACTAAATTAGCGCGGAGACTAAAAGGTCAGTTAGGAATTTTCCAGTCGGTTAGAGCCTCTCACATGAGATTTGGGGAGCAGGCGCAAAAGTGGTGGAAAAGCCGGACGATTAGCGCGCACCGTTGACACGCGAGCCAGGGGTGGCTAAAACTCGCTGCCCCCCCCCACCGTGTCGAGGGAGTTGAGAAGACAAAGACAGGGTGAAGTGATTTTTGTGCTTCCTCATCAACGGGAAGTCTCACTGGATTGGTTCGGGCGGGGAGTGAATCGACTAAAACCGTAATAATAATGACTTGATGATGTTTTATCAGATTTACCGGCGTAAGTCTTGAATGAACGGGCAATCGACCCCGGGTTTATGTAGCAGCGCCGCTGAACCCACCTTACTGGTTCCACTTCCGCCGTCGATATGCAGGAAAACGTGGAAATATAAGCAACTTCGGGGGTTTCCCCTTCCGTACCAAAGCATTAGGAGGTTCTGGACGTGACTCGGATGTCCCTCGTGGTCCAATTTACGCCCAAGTTCCTGCCAGCTCTTTGCTCCAGCGTGGACGAGAATGGCAGATTGTAGTGGGCGATGGGGAAGGAGGGTGGGAGTGATAAATAGAGAGATAAAGAGAGATGGGGATAACACGGAGGCTGATCGTTGGATAATCTTGAACAGCAGGCTCTAATTAGAATTCTTATGATACAATTTGGTGGTAGTAATTAGTGGCTCCTCTCCACGAGCCTTGTTAGTGGAAACACAGCTGTGTTGGAGAGGGGGAGAGCAGACACTCGGCACTGTCAGAGAAACCACAAAATAACGCCTCCCTCCCTCTTCCCTCAGCTCAACTTGGTGTCCAGCGTCACCATGTCCAAGAACTTGCCCTCGGCATCGCCCCCAAACTTACCTCAGACACCCACCACGCCCACGGCACCCATCACACCCATGGCGGCCATGCCACAGGTGCCGTCGGTACTGGGAGGAGCCAACGTCCCCAGCATGGGAGCCATGCGCAGACGCCACTCTGACAAGTACTCCATGCCTCTGTCGTCAGGTAAAGCCAACTACTCCGCACTGGATGTAACACCCAAACATGATCAGTCAGGGAGGGAAGTTCACTTCCTTTGAGGGGCGCCTTTGGGTGGGGGGGGGGGTGTTGTGAAATTCATCTGCTAAATTACTTGAATACAACGAGACTGGAACAGACAAACACACATGATGCATTATTAGATGTCAATTCAGCTCTAATACTACTTATTTTTCTGAATTGTGTCACTCCTTTGACACATTTGCTTTAAATATCAATTCACTATGTGTGGACTTGAACACTTCTTTTTTCCCCCTTTAAACTGAATTTCTATTAAACTATAATGACATAGAAATAGCAAATTACCCAAACCCTGAATACTGCACTATTAATAGTACTAATAGGTTTGTTTTTTTACACACATAGACATGCATGTGCACACACACACACACACACACGTACACTGACATTAACACACAACCACATGGGCTTGTTGGTCTTAGCAATGAGAGACGTCTGGTGGGTTTATAAAAACAAGCCTCTGTTTAATCACTCTATATGTAAATAGACAAGAACTTCCTCTGTGCATAAATATTACATGAGTGTTAATTAAGTTCAAATAATGGTGGAAAAATACAATATTTATTACATTAAGACATTCCGTGTATTAAGCTTAGCATTTTAAACGGTCCGTCTTTGATGTTTATATTTACTCTCCCTGTGTTTAGTGTGAAGACGTATAAATTATTCAACTTCACCCTAACTAACTACACGTATCTCATTTTATGGATGTATGAGTGTCTAAGATCTCTCACGAGAGAGATTAATTAAAAATGCATTTTGTTGGACATAGAAAATGCTGATTTGATGTGCCCCCTCTAACCCCCCCACCCTGTTCTCCTTTTCTCCCCAGTTCCTCCCCTTTCTCTCTCCCCCCTCTTAATTTGATGTAACCTTGAGTGATTTCAATACCTAGAGGAATAAAATTTACCAATTATTTCAGGTGGTGACACAGTATTTATTTTTCCAGAGATTGCCCCAAACTACGAGTTTTATAAAAACGCAGATGTCAGACCGCCATTTACTTATGCAACCCTCATAAGACAGGTGAGTGGGAAATAAATTAACTTTGTCTGATTAGATTAAAATTAATTGCTGCATGAATCATGGCAGCTTTCTCAGTTCGTTAATGTGTGTGTGTGTGTGTGTGTGTGTGCGTCAGTTACGTGGTCTCGTTAGTAAACCATTATTTGATGTCATCTCATTTCAGGCTATCATGGACTCTGCCGACATGCAGCTAACGCTTAACGAAATCTACAGCTGGTTCACGCGCACGTTCGCCTACTTCAGACGCAACGCTGCAACTTGGAAGGTAACCGCGATGAGCCCGAGCCCCCGGTGCAGCCCCCAACCTGCCCTTTCACCCTTTTTCCTCTGGCTGAAGTCAAAAACCAAATCGGGAGAAAGCACATATTTAGCGAGCGCCGAGCGATTAGTGCTCCGCTCCCCTTGTTCCTAACCTCTCCCTTGAATAGAGCCCATTCGTCCTCCTATTTATTTTCTCCTCCTGCCTTTTCTCTTCGGAAATGACAGCCGGAGGAATTATTCTGCCTTAGCTATCGTTTTCCTAATTCGGGTGCAATTAATAGCGGAGGCTTGGCGTGGAGAGGAGAGGGCTGTGAAGCACTAATTATACTGCAGCCACTCCATCATCAGCACCTTTTGTTATGGGAGACACCCCGCCGCCTAGTCCCCCAACCACCTTCTCTCGCATATCATTGGTGAATTAGTAGGAAAGATGGCCGTTTGCCCGCCAACCATCTCTCAAACAGCCACAGACGCACGCTCACCGGAGCTCACGTGTGCACCAACACATACGTGTCTGAGGGCGGGTTAAAGGGTTTTTTCGTGCATGTGGAACCGAAAGCAGGGAGGAATGTGAAAACTGTCCCGTCATGGAGGTAGAACTCCTTCTTTAGCCACACAAAGGCCTCCATAAAGATGGTAAAGAAGGTGGGTCTTTCCTGCAGCGCGTGTTCTAACAGGGCGCCTGCTGATAAAGCAAGTCGGGGTTCGTCCCGAGGCTCCCGCGCGTCACGCGTTAGCCGCCTTTAGCCTTTGTGGCTGAGCAGAGGACTGGAGGGAAAACCCGACCAGCGGCTCATCAGTATGCAAGACGTGGCGCGGTGCTAGATTTAAGCAAAGTGAATTAATTTGGATTTGGGATGCAAATGAGCACATGGGCGTGTGATCACCAATTCAGGAGGGCATGCAAGAAGATCGGTGCCCTTTTCCAGTTTGTTAGGTACAGTGTTTTGCTTAGCGGTAATGTTGTGACACGATTTGTTTTCTGAGGTTTTTGCGGCTAATGTTTGCTGCACAAATGTACCATTTCAAATGTGGGGTTTTTTTGTGCATTTTGCTTTCCCGTGATAAAATACCAATGCTATCACAATGACATTAGAAATATCTGGTCTCCTGGCTCTCACAATGATCTATTTACATCCACATCTCCACTATTCCCTTTGTAAGCATTAGGGCGGTGATCAGCGTTTGGCTTGTCGTTTGATTAACGGGTGAGATTTTGTTTTTTGTTTTTAAAGAGGGAAGAAGAAAAGAAAGGAAGTTTAATATCTCAGCTTGGTCTGAACAGCTCAAAAAAAGACCCCCCTCGTCCCCCCTTTCTCTCTGTTTTTCTCTCACCCAGAAGCTTATTAGTTCTAACTATATAGCATGCATAATAAAACTGCTCATTTGCTCATTAATATTAAAATTATCATTTTCACAGCCATGGGCATTAAGATCAATCAAATCCTGGGATTTTCAGGTCAGATGCGAAATCTGCTTATGAGCTTTTTCTTCTTTTTTTTTTGTCCTTTTTTCTTTTAGAAAGAGCGGTACACACCGACATAAGGGAGATGATAAATATGGGTGGCAGATATATTAAAGCCAAGGTTATTATTTGTAGAGTCTGATGCATGTTTTAATTATGGTCGTATGGTCATATTAATATAGGAGCGCTTTTTTCAATACGCTTTCTTTATTTTGTAATTATAAAAACACCCCACTGGTTTATTGTATGATTGTACGTACATTTTAATTCAAACACAGCTTTTCAGAAGTTTGAAAGGTGACGTGTCATTTAGGCATTTATTCAACGGCCAATGTGACCCATTATGGAGAATATTTGGACATATAGATGTCAGATACACTTCATCTTAATCCTCCCTATTCTTTCAGGCACACACACACTCCCCAGTACACACACACTGACACAAGGGCCTCCTGATGACTGTCTTTTTTCTTGCAATTCTGTCATCTTTAAAGCGATGTGTCCATTAAGAGAAATGCTTTTCTGGAGCAGAAAGGGTTACTGACATCACCATTATCAAGGCCGGCATTACCACTTCTGTCACCACCATAAGCCATTCGCTATGCTGATTACCTCCTTTTAGCCTACTTACTCTGATTGATATGTACTGTGTGCAGGACTTGTAAGAGCATTCGCTCTCACTCAATTTTTACTAATTAAATCAATGGTGCGTGAATGTTAAGAATTTCTTCCAAATGCAAGCAAAAAAAAAAAAGAAAAAATCTATTTCCAAGCCTTCTTCTTTCCTTGACGGTTAATGAACGAATGTGATTCGTTTTACTTCATCCCTCTGACCCGTGTGTCATGTCTCTCTGCAGAACGCCGTTCGCCACAACCTCAGTCTGCACAAGTGCTTTGTGCGTGTGGAGAACGTGAAGGGGGCGGTGTGGACGGTAGACGAGATGGAGTACCAGAAACGCAGGTCGCAGAAGATCACAGGGTACGAATGCTGTCACCTCTCCTTAGATCCAGATCTGAAGGTCAACGACATGTGGAGGATCAGAGGGCCTGATGGGTTAGGGTCCTCCTCTCCGTCTCCTTTTCTATCCAGTTATTTCTTACCTTTTAATTATGTGGACTGTTTAGTCTTCCATCCATGCAGCTTTTTTGACTACTATTTAATATATTTTCTGTTTAAACTGATGACATTATTGGGAACAAGGCAAGTTCCAGGTTGTACTCATTTCTTTTCTGTTTGAATGTTTATCCAGAAGCCCGTCACTTGTCAAGAACCTGCCCTCCAGTCTTGGCTACGGAACTGCACTAAACGCCAGCTTACAGGTATGAAGCAAAAGCCTCAGAGAAGCTCTGACTCACCAGCCACCCGTTTGTTTGACTGAACACCGGCTGACCAAATTTCTGTCTGAATGAGCGCGGCTTGTCTCCACATTCACAAACGTGGTTGCCTTTTTTGCTTTTGTTGTCCTTATACTCCTTATTCTCTGCTTGTGTTTTTCCTGTATCCCTTCTCCTTCTGTCTCCCTCTCTATCCTGAACACCGTCAAACTCAGAAGGCCACCCTGTGGTCAAATCCGGAAGCAACTCCCCTCCACTTTCTTTCCCTTTCTCTTCGCTGTGGCAGCCACCCGAGATTGGTAGTGGCATGTGCAAATGCAAGGGCATGTGCATTAATATTTATCTAAACTGTCATAAATGATTTGGCTTCATAGTGTACGCCGGTGAGGTGCTCATAGCAAAAACTTGAATCCCTGTATACAACTTTAATGCACAGCAGGCAAAAGTGTCGGGAGTTTTTATTATTTTGAGGTAAAGTTTTGAGGGACTTTTTTTAATAGCCACTCCACAGAAGGGCAGATGAATGGCAGCTGGGGGGGAGGTTGTTGTCAGCAAGGTGTCACAAGGTGGATAATAGGCAGCCACAGAGTGAAAAAAAACATTGCGACGAGTGTGTTTTAATAATTACTGAAGGAAATCTTACCGTTCTCTCACCTGCCGTATGTCATGCATCCCCCCCCCCCCCCCCCCCCACCCTCTCCCTCCACACGCCATGCCTGCCTCCCAACATTTACACGTTTAAACTATTACACCCCTTTTGACATGCCTCTCCCCTAATACCTTTCCTGCATATTCCACCAACCTTCATTTACACTCTAATCCTCAATATTCCTTTTCCGTTTCCCTCCCTCCCTCCCCTCCCTCCCTCCCTCCTGCAGGCGGCCCTGGCTGAGACCTCCCTGCCCTTGCTGGGGACCCCCGGCCTCATGAACAGCGGCTCCACGGGCCCGATGGGAGGCAGCTGCCACGGCCTCCTGGGCGGAGATCCGTCCATCCTGACGGGCTTGAGTCCGCCCGGACTGTTGGGCGGGAGCCCAACCGGAATGTTGGGCGGGAGCCCGCATGGCCTGCTGGGCTGCAGCCCCCCGTGCACGCTAAGCGGCAGCCCCCCCACCCTGATGCACTCTGCCCACGACGGTTACAACGGCTCACTCGACCACCTGGACACCAACGGACACGGCAGCCCCGGGTACTCCCCACCAGTACACATGTGAGTACCAACAGATTACTCCAAGCAACGTATGTGATGATAACATGTTCTGTATGTACATTCGTGGGAACACACTCTACTGTTGTAAACTCTGTTTCGGTGTTCATTTCATTCTTTTTTTCTTAGGTAGTCAAGTGAAAATAAGAATGTGAACCAACGAAGTGAACTCATTATCCTCTGACCCAGAATCCCTTCCTGAGATAATTGTGTCACACACAGACCCCCCCCCCCCCCTCACATCCTACAGTTTTTTTTACGTGTACCTATTTGAGAATGCAAGCACGTGTTCAACCAAGCACCTTCAGTCCTCCACTCGCTGTCCTTCTGCCCTCTGTTGGTTTAATTGCTTGATATTTAACCCGTGGTATCAGTATGTTCTTCAGTTTGCCATGACCCGAGGGCAAGGTTCAATTTGCAATATGTGTCGTATCAAACTTCTCTCTTTGTCTCTGTTTTGGTTTTATTTGAATTGTATTGTGCTAATAGCTGAGGTGAGCCGGACGTTTTGGATAACAGTTGGTTCTAATTCTATAAATAGACCCCATTACACATTCATCTTTAATTACACCACAGTGTGCTTTGCAGGGTTTTAGCTGCTATATTTTACGTGAGACAGTTCCCATTAATATTGAGTAACTGTAATTACTTTAAAAATCCCTCCTTTTCCCATCTCTCCTTTAATGGAGCTGAGAGAGAAAGAGTGTTTAGAAAAAGAAAAATAATATGAGTAATGTGAGTTTCAGGAATGTTTCAGGATGTTTTCGGGGAAACAGACGTGCGCTCACAAGGCACACGCGAGACAAACAGATATCGCACTTTAATGATTCTCATCCGCTGTCCATCAAAGCTCATGTTGCATAGTGTGTAACCACTCCTGTAATGGACAAAGGGTGCACTCCTCTCTCAGAGTTTGGTAAGCCCTCCCGGACATCCATACGTTAATCTATTTAGACGTGTTTACCCCTCTCTGAAAATGGGGTGTTAAGTGGAGCAAATCTGCACAGCTCTGGACAGAATGCCAGTGTTACCGCTCCCCCAGGTCATTTAACTTTTAGTAACCGGACTGCGTGTACTCTCTCGCCGTCTTCATTGCTCGCTCTCTCTTCTCTCTGGCCACGCCGCTTTGACGCTGACGCGAGTGGCCATGGAGGACGAGATGCATTCATCCGTCCCTCCCTCTCCCTCCATCACCGACTGCCTTTACACAGCCTCAAAATGGAAGAAATGTGTTTTCCATGACTGGCTTTTCCGAGACGTTGTTTAAATAATGGAGTGGCTTGTACCACTAAACTAAATAGCACATCACCTTGAAGGCCTTTCTCAGGAGAGGACTCCTCCCCGCAACGGAGTCAATCCAACAATTAGACAAACCGCTCCTTCCCCACAACCTCTGAAGGTTAATGCTATCTGCTTAACCGCAAACCATCGCCCCAGGCCATGCTGGCTGTGTGTGTGTGTGTGTGTGTGTGCATGTGCAATAGACCCTCAGGGGTTAAGCTTAAAAGAAGTGGTACTGTATAGCAGGAGAGACTCTGCAACGGTAACATCAGCGTGAGCACATCGGCGACGCCACGCAAAAGGAGACGGCCGCAGCAGAACATTTGTTCCCGGAAACGTAACTTCCCGCCGTCGTCAAATCCAAGCAAATGGAATCCGTGCGATATCGTTTCATCGGCCGGGTCTCGTGCTGTCCCGTCAAATTGTTTGGTGTTAGTTAATGAATAGCGATGAGGTGTTATGAATGTGTCTGGTTGCTTCTCCCCCCCACCACCACCCTCACCACCCTCCCGCGCTCACCGCCTCCCTTTACTGCGCCCGCTCCCCTCATCCACCCCCAACGCCACCTCTCCTGTCCCCCAACCTACCATTAGGCCCGTGGACTAATGACCTTATTTGCATCCCCGACATACCTCTGCATGATTGCTGGTGCTAATCTCCAGTTGATGTGAGAGCAGGCGCACACACACACGCAGAGCACCGGGTATTTATTACGCCGCAAAGTCCAGCGTTTACTCCGGAGTGACTCAATAATGGCAGCTAGCCATTAAGTACTAAATAGCTCATCCACATATTTTAATAAAGTGTCAGAAAGCTCCGGCCTGTGAATATGGCCCTGCATATTTTTCTTCAAAGCCACACAAACAGCTTATGAGCTGCATATTCGAATAACAAAGGGGACCGTTGGTACGCATTATATGAACATTAGTAAATGGGGAACAGCACACTATGATGTGCTTGTAAATGGATTAGTGCTGTATTAAAGTATTTGTTGACGACATGAAGTCCTCCCGTGGGCACCAAAGGAAATGACAACACACTGAAAATGTTTTTGGATAAATGCTGTGGCAGTAATGATAACTTAGAAATGTTGGTACGATCACATTATATTGTAGTGTAAATCCTTTATCTAAAACAAATTAATAACAAGTTTATAAGATACCGCTTATGAATGCTGAAAAGAGGGACTATAAAGTTAAGTGTTATTATGTTCCTCTGCCCCGAACAATTTTATCATTATACAAAAGTTAGCTGTTATTTTCTTTATGGAGTAATGTGTCTTGTGTTTTTTTCTATTAAATATTTCAGAATTTAGTGTATGGATATATACCCAAATGTCCTAAACTCAATTTACTATTAGAAAATGTACTATTTAAAAAAAAAGATGCAGAATGTTTGACAGAATTTCCTCCTTATTAAAAAGTATTTTCATTCAGTGAGAGTGTCAGGTCAGACTCTTTCTGTTTGGGTGTTTTATTTATTATTTTTTTACTCTTGCTGCCTCCAGGAGTCTGAGGGGTAAAAACAGAAATGTCTATCGCTGTGCTCGCTCCCTGCTAAGATCAGCCTCTCCTTTTCATCCCGCCACATCAGAATATTCATTTACAGTGTTTGGTTTGAATATTAAAGTCATCTGTACCTTTTTTTTTTTTTTTAATTCTCTTCAAAGCCCCCCCGCCCCTTCTCCCTTCTCCTGATGAAGGCAGCCCAAGCAGAGAGGCTATGAGACGCGTCCTAACGCACCACCACTTGATAAGCCCCCCCCCTCTCTCTCTCTCCACCCTTTCATAGTCCGGCGGGATTTTCTGATGCATCCGATGCGTCAGAAATAATTAGGTTTTGTCAGATTTATCATCGTGGCACAAACCCCTCTCCCCAACTAGGGCTCCGGATCATGTTACGCCGTGTTTGTGTGTGACAGCATTATTATTCTTTTTGCTCGCCCCAACACCTTTCTTTTTTTTTTTCCGCCCACTCCTTCTGTTGTTCTGAGGGGAGCGGCGTCCCGCTGTCAGCGCAGCCTGCCGCCGCCGCTGTTTCCTGCCCGGCGCTTATTGACAGTGGCTAAAGATATTCATCCATTCAGAGTTAAAAACATGTATCATGGTGTCCGAGCCAACTGCCGGGGCTGAAGTTGATTAATGGCAGAACCTAGCTGCCGGTTTCCCCTCTTGAGGAGCGACATGCACAGCCCCTGCATATTAACGAGTGGCTGCGCTTTCTATTAACTAGATAAAAAAGCCTCTCCTCTGCCTTTGCTCCAGGGGGCTCAGGGATGAGAAATTCTCCATTATTTATTATGTGGCCTGTTTTTTTTTTCTCGTTTTTTTCTCCCCCTTTTTCCCTTTTCATGTATTTCAACCTGGTGTCATCAGTAAACTTTTAAATGCCAAACATGTCTGGAACATCACAGCTTATCGGCCTTACAGGGGCCATGTTTTTCATGCAATTTTCATGTGCTTACTTACAGTAGACGTGAGGCGTCGTGTCGAATTAGTGTCTCGCAAACAACACGCTCGTTACTCACGAGATAATGCATGTAATGCCTGTTTTCTGCCTGTTTTGTGATCAAACCAAATATTTATCTGTGAGCTGAGCTCCACGATGTGTATTCCATGTGCAGAAAAGAGGCTTATTGACCAGGAAGCCTTTCTCTCTTTTGATTATTATTATCTTATGAGGGTAATAATCATCTTTTCTTTATATTTTTGTTTTCTTAATTGCTAACAACTGTATGTTTTTGCAGGGATTTCAAAAGTTCTGTTGGCTGCAGAAAACCTTTCATAAAAAAACATGTAACATGTAACATTTCTCGTCGATGTCATTGTGTCGTAGGCCTCCCATTCACGTGAAGGAGGAGCCACTTAACATGGATGAAGATGACTGTCCAATGTCCCTGGTGACGACAGCCAATCACAGTCCAGAGCTGGACGACGACCGGGAGCTGGAGGAAGGGAACTTATCAGAGGACCTGGAGTGACTAGGATACCGTTTTTGGTCGACACGTCCCTTCCCCCAGCCACACTGTTTCTCTCACACAAACCTCCTGCAAGACTAGAAACCACTTCACAGTCCAAGCGACCACACAGCTGACTCTCCCCGCGTCTCTCTCACCACTGGGACTATTTATTGAGCATGCATCCGGATGGAGACCAGTCCAAAGGAACTCTTTGTTGCAGCCCTTTGGGATCCCCACACATGACAGGCATGAGATGTCTGATTAAACGAACTAACTCTCTGAGATCTTTAGACAAGGCGTGGTCACACACACAATACAAGGATGATGGACTCATGGATGGGGGGGGGGGGGGACATGAAACAAATGAGCAAATCATGTTCCGTTGAAAGCTAGCGGCCTCATATACTGCCAAAAAGGAAGACGTTTTATGTTTGTGAATAATCCAACCCCCAGTAGTTGTTCGTGTCTAGAGACAATTGCTGGTTCAATTCAAGTTAATTTGCACAGGAGTAGTCTCAGAAATTTGTGTCACTGCCTGTATGTTGCTACTATAATAGAAACCAGTATATTATTTTTAGCTTCTCTATTTTTTTTTTCTTCTTTTTACCATCGTTAATTTTAAAATCTGATTTTAGACACCAACAACTGTAAATGCCATTCCCTGAATCAAAAACCAATAATGGAAAAGCGGTACCAAGACTGTTGTCGCAGCTGTCCAGAAAAAAAAATGAAAAAAAAGGTTGCCTTCCAGTCTGTTATCTGTTTGTGATTTAAAAAAAGGAAAAAAAAAAGAAAAAAAATCCTGGAAATTAAGTTGGGGAAAATATTAGTTTGTATAAAGCACCATTTACAAAACAAATGCATTTCCACCTAATTTTCTTCTTGCTGTTCTCCTTACCTCCTCGTCCTAAAGCTTTGTCTACCTGCAAACAGTCACAGGCAACAGCTAGAAACCAAAGCCAACACTAGCAATGGCCAATAGCTTATAGACAGAAGCCACCAAACTCCTCTTGGTCCCACTTCTGTGACTTTAAACGAGTACAAAGAGAAGCTTTTGTTCCGCAAACTACCTTCGAATAACCTCTGGGATTGTTTCATTCAGCCCTATACAAAGATGATCACGAGAGAGAGAAGGGGGGGGGGGGGGGGTAAATGCTGATTTTGATGTGTAATTTGATAACCCATTGAACTTCCACTTTGGAGATTTTCTGCCAGACGTACTGTAGGTAAAAAGGTGATGTGATATTTGAACTGCAGGCATTCTTGTGATTTGACTGGTAGAGAGCAGCTAACTGTAAAAGTGGATCCTGACCAAAACAAAACATTTGTGTATTCAATGGAAGTGTAGAAACATCGTGTTGTTGTGAAGTTTATTTCGTTTTTCTATTTGTTTATTTTTTTTCACTTTTTTTATGCATCACTCGTCATTTTTTTTCTTCTCCTTTTTATCACGTTATTTTTTTTTCTGGCCTGGTGAATATGTAATGTTCTAAGTGGGACTTTCGAAAATATTGTCACGTCTTATTTGCGTGGCGGTTTTGTTCCGAGCTGCGTCGAAACCGAAACTGAAAACACCGCTAACCAAACATGACAAATATCTAGTAAAGCCAAATAAGTCATAATTTCAAGTTGATATGAAATGGCTTGGTTACCATGTAAAAGCAAATAATAATAGCCATTGCAGAGGAGGATATCTAAGGTTGAAAGTTAACCTTTTCTAGGTGATATTTGCTTTAACGTCATCAAGTACTCACCGTGTGCTTCATAGCTTCTAAACTACACAGATACAACTGGTGCGAGCACTGCTGTACTCTGTATAGGAAACCAGCTTTTTGTAACACACTCGGTATTTAATGAGACTAGAGAAAAGTCGTTAACCTGGAGACCACGTCCCATCATCTTCCTCTCGGCTAATAACATCTAGAAAAAAAGGTTGTCGCTTTAACGCTCATTTCTGTTTTCAGTAAACCAAAGTTACACAAAATTCTGCCTCCTCTTGTATGGGATAACAAAATGCTAAAACAGCCACACACACACACACACACACACAAGAACCCACGAGTGGCTTTGTATTGTGCTGTAACGACCAAAATGGAAACACTGTGCATATGTTGTTTTCAAGCGGCAGCGAGAGCGCAGACACGTGCAGTACTGTACAAACACGCAGCATGTAGTTACACACACACACACACACACACACATGCTAGTTTCACGTCAAGAGGGTACTGGGCCCAGGAACAAAGCTTATCCCTTCAATACTTAGGTGGAGTCAGCAAAACGACTTGAAGACGACGTTCTTAATAATCTTATCACACCAAATAAAAAGGACGCCGCGTCTTTCAAACAAAAAGAAGAGAAAAAAAGGGTTCTCCCACTTACCCAAAAAGGCTTTCTAAAAGCTTCTACCTCTGCACAACAAATTTAGAAAAATGATTGCACGAGTTATTAGAAGGCCACAAGAGCTGTTACACTTTACAACCGCTTGTCTCATAGGACGTGGCTCCAACCAACGTTTACATTCCCTGCGTCAAGATACGGAAGATTTGCATTGTAATAGGTTGTCCTCAAACATTTGTAGAATGATAATGTATAGATTACCTGTAAGGGAATATTGTGTTTTAAAAATGCATGTCTAAAAAAAATCATTTGGTGGACTGGAAACAAGAATCAATAAAAAGAATAAATAATAAAAATCATCGGGACGATGGCCTAAATGTACGTACCATGCATTGGAGTGCGTTACCTCAGATAAACTGCTTTGGGAAGGATAAAAACCTGTCAGCCACAGAATGCATATTACCTGTAGATTTGCATGGGTTTTGTATAAATTAAGTTGAAAAAAAATGTCTAAAATAGTTGCTTGCACATAATACCAGAAAGACCTCCAGAACTGCGATCTGCTCCTCCACTAGATTTTAGGATTGTCTGGATTTTCTGGGTTGATTTTTGTCTGTATTTTGATAACTGTGCATACTTATGTAAAAAAAAATGTTGGTGGACCCATAAATTTACCAGACTTTTTTCTAAGAGAAAAAAAAAATCTCAGTGTTTCTTTTCTGACTTACCTGAATTTTTACTGTTTCTCTCTCATTGCTCGCTAAGAATAGCAAACCTGCTTTTTCTGCATCTGCTTTGCGTAGCTGTAAGGCTTAACCTAATGTGTGTATTTATTGCTTGTACCTCTGTGCATACTTTATGAAGCATTATGTCTGGCAGTTGAGTCATGTATCCTTTCTACTGCTATCCTTCTCTAATAATTGGGAATATGATCCCCCTATGTATACAGTAAATTGGAACTGTAGCAAACATATGTTTATGTAATTGGTGAAAACTTTTATTTCCTTTTGTTTTTATTTCCTTTTGATCAAGATTCAACTACTTTTTTTGATACTTTTCATTACTGTGTACTGTGTCCATACGTTCGAGGTTCTCTGACATTAGAAGGTCATGGTTGAGAATTGTAACAGACGTTATTATTTTCTGTATTCATGGCATTTCACTGCTGAATAAAATAAAGGACCAAAACTTGGAATTTGAAAAGCAACTGTCTACCTCCAGCATTAGAGACTAGATCCGCCCCCCACCCCCCCACTGTTACACACATATATCTTTTATTCTACAAAGGCCAAGCCATGAAAATCTAGCACACTTTTAACATTTCAAGAGCTGCTCCTTCGCGGGATGTGAAGGAAGGGATTGGAAAAAAATAATAATTAAAGTTTAATGTATATGTTACAAGGCTTTGTTCGGGCTTCCATCACCCAGAGTCTTGTTTAGAAGAGCGGCAAGGCACTACACGGGCCACCCCATGGACCTGTAATGGGTTTAGCCTTTGTGTGATTCGAGCCCACCGCTACAGCGTTTCCCAGAATGCACTGCCCGACTGCTGTGCACCTTTGAAAGACTTTGAAGCAACAACAGCACGTACCGCAAAAAGCGGTTTTGCCACTAACCACATTCTAAAGTCTGTTGTCATGCCTGTGTAGAAAATTATTAGCATCAAGGTGCTGCATTATGTGCGGAAAAACTAAAGACGTGAAATCTCATCAGACGTTCCTTCATCCGTCTTCAAGGCGGCCCTTCTCCCCCCCCCTCGACACTTCAAAAGAAGAAAGGGAAAAAATCACCACTTTCAGCGTTGCGATTGATGGATGTTGACCGATAAAGCGCCATGACAGGCCGTGTGGCTAAATCAACTCCAGCAGGCCCGCCGCACCTTGTCGGTCATGGAGCAGCCGCACACTGACACCCTCATTGAGATTCGGGGTGGATCTACCATGACCAATAGGTTGCCCATTAGCCCGTCTGTGCGCCGAGAGCCTTCGACACGTTCCAAAAGGCTGCCCTGGGACACCGTGGGACCCTCTGAATCATGTCCGCCGGTCATTTAATCGTAACGCTGATGCATGTTCTTTTTCCTTACCATATGATGTCCCACGAGGGGTCAGAACAACAGCATTTTCAGACACATCGTCCCCCCCCACCCGCCCCAACCCCTCCCGAACCTCTCCATGACAGTTTCAGGCATCGGCCATGGCAGGCTCCTGTTATCTCCTCAGCAATGGCGTTCCAGAGCATTAGCTAGCTCGCGAGGAGGCACTCGTCTTCCGTGCTATTTATGCACTTGGAAGTGTTTGTGAATTCAAGTGAGGGATCGCATACGGAGCGCAACAAGGGGGCCGCTGTGTACTACACAACATCAGAGGGAGCGCCGACATTAAAGTGCCGGAGCGGCTGCCATAGACCCTTCTTTCAAAGGCCATGAAATAATAATGGGTTGTGGTTAGAGAGGTATCCGTGAGTCACACTGGCTGCTTTTCATAAAGTGGAGTTATTTACAGTACGATGAATAAAAGAAAGGGTTGCTGGTGGTGCGAGCCTTTTTCCACATGATTGCTGAGGGAGGGGGGGGGGGGGGGTTGCTTTAATATACGTGGCGGAAGCGTACACTACGTGAGGGACTGGGAAGCAGACAGGGCACTGGGATCCGAGTTAACTTTCTTGAAAAAGTGTTTAGTGATTTGCTAAGTTACGCTTTCTTACTTTGTGTGAACGACGCCACTTCACGTCGAATGTGGCATCGATTCTTCCCGTCCGACCGTTCGTACAAAGTGCACCGGGGCAAACTGCTCGCTTGAACTTCCTGCCATGCAACCGCCGTCTCCTTCGGTACGATGGCAAGGAGCCGAATGGCTCACATCCTGCCCTTCTCAATTAGATCCCGGCATCATTCATTTCATCACCAACACTGACCAATTAGGTCAATTTATGAACCGTCCCCTTGTGGGATTGGGTGGTAAATATCTCTACTCTCGCAGTTTATTGATTAAGAGTGCCAACTCTCTCTCTCTCTCTCTTTCTCTTTCTTCCTCTCTCAACCACTTCTGACCCGACGATGCGTGTCGGCTCCCGAGAAGACCCTCGCCCCCAGGCTGCAAAATTGCCTGCTAAACAGTCCGAGGCAATGGCAACGCTAATTGAGATCATCATTATTATAATTGCCAGCCCTGAAAAGCGCGTCTTAAATAATTTGCATTGCTCTCAAGTTGATATTGGACGCAGTGCAAAAATAATTGCATAGCTCGGAGGGACACGATGCTCGGTTCGGCGGTGGGCGAGGGGGACTCTGGCGCCCGCTTCCCTCGGCCCCGCCCGGCTGCCAGTGACCGCCCACCCGGCGTCGCGCTCCGCGTCCGACGCCTTCGGAGGAGTCACGTGTTTGTCGCGTCAGCAGCGGTGGAGGCTCTGGCACACTGTCTGGTTTGGGGTTGGTCAGGTGTTTTGCTTCTTTTATGTGGAACCCCCCCCTCCTGCCTCTGTAGAGACCTCACAGTCAGCCTTTTTCCACTAAGACTTTGCAATAAGAATTAAAATGCCAATGAGATTGGGCTTCTTTAACACTTGTGTTTTCTGATTTGTCCACTGTGTCGAAAAGGGGCTGCTCAGATGGACAGGAACAATCCCACCCCTGTGTGACCCCGAGACATGAGACTTCACTCATCATCACATCAGAGGGACGTAAAGGTACTTTCACTTTGCGCGGATGTGATGTTCAGGCACCTGTGTAATGTATGCAAAGGAACCGCCTATTTCTCCAACCGAAACAAGGGATCAACCCAACCAAGTGGTGAGAAACTGCTGATATTCACAAATTCTTGCCTGTGGCGTTATCTACCCCTACACACACACACACACACACACACAAGCATGGAGAGACTTGACAATGGGACTAATGAATATGATATGGTGACTTGATATATCTCGTTATTTGTTTTCTTGATTCTTTAAGAACAACAACAGGCCTTTGAGAACGAAGGGGTGGAATCAGATTAACCAAATCCTCTCAGACAACAACACGCCGTATCCCTTTCCCATACTTTCTCCCCCCCACGTGAGTGGAGGTAAATCAAGCTGTTTCAGGCGTGCAGGTGGCTGAAGAGGTTACGGCAAAAAGAAAAAAAAATCCAAACTATCATCTTTAATCCATGGTAATCACCTCTGGCCTTAATCACCAATTCATAATGGAATTTATAATGGGATGATTTCAATTACCCACCACCACCGGCACACAGTACTGCAATTAAATTAGGACAATGCGATGGTATGTCTTTGTCTCACATTTCAATATGTTTGTGTTGAAGGAATCTGGTACTGCTTTTTGGGGGAGTTTGGAACTTCTGGAGGAGCAGTTTTGTTTTTCACTGGTCTTGTGAAAAGAAAGATGTTTTTTTTTTGCTTGGGAAAAACCTTGGAAGTTGATCATGTGGGGTTTAGCGGGGGAGGGTTTGCTAACGAAAAAGAAAGAAATATCTAGCATTAGTGAGGAATGGTGGGTTAAATCACTTACTGAGGTTTTTTAATGACATTTCAGTGTTCCTTGTATAATTACTCTTCATCCGAGATGGGCCGTAATGCTGTTGGACAGTCTCGGTTCAGGCTCGCTAGCTCGCTTCATTAGCGTGTCATTCCTATTTCACATCAGAGGCTTTAATTGTAATGCTGAATATGCACAGCTCTCCACAGAAGCCTAATCAAAGTGGATCCACTTGTATTATTAATATCAGAAATCAGCCCGCTTGCTATTTTTTTATAAATAAAAGAATACAGACGCATAAATCAGCTGTCATTTATTAGCATGGCCCTGGCATATCCGCCAGACATGCAAGAAGAGCAACCCCACCCCACCTCCATTTCTCCCTGCATCACTCATCAAGATTTAAAAAGAAGAAAAGACAGAGAGGAGAAAAGAAGAAGAAGAAGAAAAAAAATGCATTAAATATGCATACTAATTCCGCCAAGAAGTAATCAGATTACAAAGCAGGAAACACAGAGCAAAGAAACGCGGACGGCTGGCAGCAGCAAGAGGATGGAGAGGTTCAAGGGGAGAGAGGACGGATGGACAAATACAAAGAAAAAGGTGGGGAGGGAAGAAGGGAGGATTAAAGATTTACACAAACGCAAATGCCACAAGAAAAAAAGGCACCGCAGTGCAGAACTGACAGCGTCTTTCAGGGCGGCTGCGTGGAGCACGGCTTGTGCTGACCAAATATAAAAATAAAAGAAAAAACAGCTGTGTTTTGAAATCCTGTGGCAGTGAGAGTCAAAGTGCTGCGAACCGCTAATCCACATCAGTGGGGGGGGGCTTTGGTGCTGAAGCTGATGGCACACGCAGAACGACAGAACTAAATACCTGCTCCGTCTCTAAAAGGAGAGATACCGACGCTTTGGGAAATGAACCTTTACTTTGTGGAGGAGTAAGGAAGCTTCCTTTTCATGTATGGTTTGTTTTTTTGACAATATGACCGAATGAAGTGCGATGCCATACGGGGGCTTATTGGTATTCAGCACATAAGGTCTGAAGGTCTTAATTTAAAGATAAGAGATAATCAAGGCAAAAGAAGATGCTCCCTTATTTAAGAAAATTAAGAAAAAGAGGTTGTAGTGATGTGCAGAAGTGATATTCAAATCCAGCGTGTTACAATGCTTCTCAACAATGGTCCACTGGTTCCCAACCTAGGGGTCAGGATCCTTCTGGAGGGTCAAGATGTGGGACGTGGTCTCGAGTTGTGTTCAATTTGACTCCTTGTTTCTAAAAAGTGTTCTTCATTTGTGAAGGTCTAGCCTCCCGTTTCACCTGTCCCTCATCGGTGCTGCTCACCTGCTCTCCTCAGGCCGACGCTTTTTACACCACCGCAGCGCCTTTTTTGCAGTTGTGGAATAGGAAGTAATATTTCACTAATTCAGTAACATGAACTAAAATCTGTGAAAAACGAGTTACGGTTGTCCTAAACTACAGCACCATTGGAGAGAAATGTTGCCATCTGTAAAAAAAATAACACACAGAGGTGATACATGTTGACTGGGAATAATATCACAATACAGGTGAGACGCCGAAAAAGACAATTTCATCCAGAAGATCATCCAAATCTGTTCACGTTGCGACATAAAATGCTTTTTTTTGCCGGTTGAAGTGATGACCCGAAAACAAAAGTACGTGCTGCAAGACCAAGACGTCGCATTTGATGTCAGAGTACAAAAAAG